TCACACAGTCCCCGCACACAGTCTGGCCCAGCTCTGGCTGCTCCTTGAGAGCACCAGGACAGGGAGCTGACAAAGCAGCAGAACCGAAAGGCACACAAGGGCTAATTCACGGAGTGCTGTCAGGTTACTAGGTCAGTGCATAAGAGGTGTCTGCATTGAGGTGACAAAGAAATCTCTGTCTCTGCAGAAATGTCTCTGTTCCACACTGCAAGCGGAATTCTCACCTGGCTGTGTAAGACAGGTGCACTTTTAATGCCGCTGGAGGATGGAATTCACTTCTCTTCATTTTGTTCTCATTCTCAGATGTGCAAAAACATCCATGGTGTGCATTCAGCATCTTCCTGAAAGAATAGAACACCCAGGAGAAAAAATAATAAATCGGTTGGAGCAGAGGAGCATTTCAAATCATTGAAGGGCTTGCTTATACCCACCCTCCCCCTGAACTCGATTTGCCCCTTTCCCTTCACATCAGTAACCTGTCAAACATCCAGAAGAACAAATGCCAGGATTTAGCACTGCTGCAAGTATTGCAGGGAGACAACACTTGAAAGACGGAGCTCCACTTGAAGTTTCCACCCAGAGAGTTGCTCTAGAGATCCCATTTCCTTTGAGGACAGGAGCCTTTCAGCATCTTCAGAAACTCCTTGGTCTGAACAAGTCCAGCCCAGGCCACAGTAAGGACATGTGCAAGCTGAGAGTGTCTGGTTCCCTAAGGCTCACATCAGGAACATTTTCCTTTCCATGGAAAGGATAAAGAAAAGGGAAAGTGATGAACAAAGCACACAATAACATCAATCTGGCAGTAGGTGATACGGGGACAAAGAAAGAGCATAGAGATCTCCAGCTTCTAATTGATGGGCCATTAGGAAAGTGCTGTGAATTGGCTCAGGCTGAGCTTTGTCAGTGACAAGAAGGGACAAGAGAAACACGAGGATAATGGAGGTTTGAGGGGGTCTTGTGGGGTTAGGGAGCACCCACAAAGGAATGCTTGTGAGGCTGTGCAGCCCCCAGCCATGGGGCTCTCCAACACCCATC